TCCAAAGCATCCTTAAGTATTGGGATTAGAGGCTTAAACTGCCAGCAGGTTTTTAGAGGCAGCGAGGCCTCGCAAGGGAGGAGATAGCCCCTCTTTCTTGCTTGGAGCAGCTGGTAGATTTGAATCAATCGCCTTCAGAATGGCAAGTCAGTTCCTTTCCACCAGCCCACCAGAGCTCCCCATGATGTTGTTGTTGTTGTTAGGTGTCATCAAGACGACTATGACTTACAGTGACCCTGTGACCAACAGATCTCAGCTTTGCCTTAGCCATCCCCATAATCTCTTTCTGCTCAAGTTCATTGTAAACAATCACTGCATCACCTCGTCTTGTTGAGCACAGAGTATAGAAAGTTCAAACAGAGCCGTGGAAATACCCGGGATAACATTGTATGATATGGACTGAGGGGTGTTGGAGACCTTATGCAGCGGGGGTGGCCTGAGAGGCTGGCTAGATCGACAGGACACAGAAGATTTCACTTAGCAGGACAAGACACAACCACTTCGGTTTGTCAGACTGTGGGGGAAGACAGGAGAGCTCAGTCATTGGAGACAGAAAAATTAGGAAACTGCAGTAATAATTGTTAGGAGATAACAGGCAAGTTCGAGGCAGTGAGGTTTGAGCCGGAAAGAAGAGACAGATTTGGCGATTGGCTGAGATGGAATCATTAAAATTAGTTCTGAGGAGAAAGGGCGGAAGTCGTTGCATTAGCTTGTGCTGCTATAACAGAAATACCTCAAGCAGATGATTTTAACAAAAACTTATTCAGTCCCAGGTTAGTAACTAGGTCTAGGGGAGACAAACCTTCAATGATGCAGTCCACAGGGAATAGCGCTGCTATTCCAAAGGCCGGGGAGCTTTGGTGGTCTAGTGGCAAGAATCTGTGCTGCAATCCCGAAGGCACGCAGTTCAAGATCATCAGCTGCTCCAAGGGAGAAGGATGGACAATCTCCTTCTGCGTGATTAACTGCTTCTGAAAACCCGCCAGAAGTTTAGCAATGGTACACAACAACAACAACAACAATCCAAAGGCTGTGTCTCTCTAACAGTTCAAATCCACCAGCTGCTATGAGGGAGAAATATGGGCATCCCCTCTTATGTGATTTTACAGCCTCAGAAACCCAATGGAGGGTCAGCTATGAGTCAATTTCAATCCAATGTCAATAAGCAATGGAGGGGATCGAGGGGAAAGCTTTCTTTTCTGTTGCTCCTGTGGTCTCTTTCGTGGGTCCTGCATGCCATGCTGACCTTCAGGTTTCAT